AGCTGCTCTTGAGGCCTAGTATTCGTCATCATCTTCGGTTCTTATTTTGCAGCACCTCAAATGTTATCCGCATCAGGAAATTGCGTTTTACTTGTATTCCAAAGCGCAATTACAGGACTTGGCAAAGTGCCAAGAGCGCTGCGCGCGACACGCGCCGCGCGGACGGCTGTTAGCATAAACGGGAGTCTGCGCCGCAAAGGCATTGGGCGGAGCATGGAGGAATTAGCGTGTTTCACGGTCCTGTATCTCCATTCCTGCGCATGTTAGGACGGGGAAACCGCTTCGACAGCTGGGGGGCTGATAGTCACGCACACCCAAACTATGTGTGATCGTACCATGTGTCTTTAAGGAGCGCTAAATGGGAGCTCGAAGCACTTATAAGCATTCAGCTTTGACTCCTGAGATGAAGAAATTTCGAACTTACAGAGTTTAATGAAAACCAGTCTTGTCGATAAGGTCTCAGAGGAACAGCGCGACTCAGCGTAGCGTTCATAGCCCCTAACTGTATGTGGTCTAGTAATAAGTGGCTTTCGTGCTTACCAAGCGCGCGGCCCGCGGGTCAAATGCCGTATCGCCCCCCCCCCAACCACCACGCCAACCAAGCCTTCTACCCTCCGGATAAGGCAACTCAATACCAGATCCGTTTGAGAAGACAAGAACCACGACCTGTATATCGGTTGGAGCTACAAGTCATTGTATAGGCCACCTCATCGCAGTCAATGAATTTTGGAACTCAAATAGAATTTGTGCCGCATCCCAAATAGGGAAAGATTTTGTCCTCTATCGTTTACTAGGTGGTAGTAATCGTTTCTCTAGAACTTACTAATCCGACCATAAATTTAATGAAATAATTAAAAGCTCCCACTTACATCTTTGCTGGATTCGAAGAGCAGCGCATGGAAACCATCACGATTAATTTTGCACAAGTTTACAGTTTGAACGTGAGTCCGCCATACAAAATCAGAAGGTACAACGACAGCCTCAAACGTGGTGTTGAAACGACGCTGAACGTTTCTCCAGACTTCCTGAAAAGATTGCAGTCAAATAGAAATCAGTAGAAATGCCAGTGAGGTGCTTCAGAGCTTCCTAAATATGCGCCGTGCATTCCACTTCCATCCTATTAAGGAACATATAAGCACTGAGTGCGCGTTCCCTGATATTCTGATGAGAGGAGCCCAAAACCATTGCATCTCCCTCACTGGCGCTTCTCTCTTCTTCAGTGGATCGGGAAGGGAGCACCATTGAGCAAAGCACGATGGCTGTGGTCCCTGCCCATTTATTCGTCATCCACTGTCATGGGATGTGTCTTTAAACTGCTCG